ACTAGTAACAGGTGCCTTACTAGTAGTAACAAGAAGCTAGTAGTAACTCTTAGTCTGTGATTTAACAAGGTTGTAGCGTTGGGATTCATGGGGAACAACAGGGCTGTACTTCCTTGAAGCGCAATGATTCTTGCCTCTTTAGGTCACAGGAGCTGCTGGGTGGAATGCGTTTCGGTGGCTAATTGATGGTCATGCCGCTCGCTGACGGGTTGTCATGGTATTCCAATAAAATTTCCGTGTTCAACACTTCTTGTGCCATTCTTTTGCCACATCTATTGTAGTATTTCATACCTCCAACATACGTTCGCAGTGCTACTGCGCCACTCTTATCCAAGTCACCGATGCCGCCATGCGCCAGGCCGTGAAGTATGGTGAAGAATGAAACGAAAATGGCGAGCTGCAGCGGGATTGCCGCTTTGCCTGCATGAGTTGGGAAAGACACGTCGAGAAGCAAAGAATCCCTCAGAGAAAGCACTCACCTAAAGTCCTGGCTGCCTGCTCCTGATTGTGAATAACTGTGGAGCTCCAAGCATATGCGGAGAAACAAAGATCCCCACAGGCCCACAGCGACAACCTTTCCACAGGGTCCCTTTCCGATCTTCTTGCAAGTCGGCACCTGGACAACAAACATCCCAATGAGGGTCCATTCCCTCTTTACAACATAATTGAACAACATCCTGTAGATCGGACCACTCGATGCACTTCCCCTCTACACGTGCCAGCCTTCTAAACTGCCTTGCCGACGGGCCCTGTCGTTGCAGACCATGAGAACGAGGCCCAGGAAAACGTCCAGCAGACAGCTCAGCCCATGGCTCGTTAGGCCTCATTGATGAGAAAAAACTGCCGTAGTCTCATGATCCAGTTTGTGCTAAACCTCCCAATTGAGACGTTTGGGCAACTCTTGAGGACATGTCTTGCAATTACCGAAATGCGATGGAATACGTCCACAATGTAGAGAACTCGGGCAAAAATGAATACGGCAAACCAATTCTCAAGCATTCTATATATAGGACTTTATTGTGAAAACCATGATGCCCTCCAATCGGACTCCTGCCTTGGCCGCCTATTGACCAGCTCGAGACGCAGAAGCCATTCTCGTACCTAGGGGTTCCAGGAAGAGTATATCAAATAATCTTCAATGTGTACGTAGCCTAACCGGCCCAACCGGAACAAGGAGTCCTTTGCCTCCATTACCCCACTTTGAACACAGCCGATCAACACCAACCATGGAATATGCTGAGGGGCCAATTGGCCGAGCTCCATCGTTGTTCACTGCGGTCCGCCAACACGTCATGAAGCACCTACAGCCGGCAACAAAAGCGCAAGAAACTGAGAGGGAAATCCATGTTCAAACACTTTCACCACCGAAGAGCAGGAACAGTGCAAGAGTCTTGACCTTCGAACTCCATTCGCCAAAAAGAATAGAATGTCTGAGGGCAAGGGCAAAGGATGGGGGGATCTCTGCATGCCCAATGGAATCACTTAGTGACTCGGTAAACTGTTCAAAAGGTCTCAGAAGTCGCTTCCTGATCATGGGTTTCACCGTCACCATGATGGATCTACACGATTCAGGGCCCAACCAGCACTTTGATTAGAGATCTGCCTGCCATACTTGGACAAGAAAAATCCACAATCGCACGCAACCTTTGTTTGCATCGCGCGGTGTTTGGATCTGTCACAGTCCGTTTCTCGTCCGGTCAAGCTCACCACCAGGCAGTAGACCACCGTGAGCGCCGCTGTGGCCGCCTCACAAAGCCAGGTCGCCGCCATCGAAATCTCAGGCGTCATCTGGGCACTTTGCTTTGCTTCAGAATGGTAGCTTTGCTTTGCTTGGTTGCAATGCTACTGATTTCCGGTTCCGGTGGTATTGCACGCTGTCAGTCCAATTCTTAACGTGCTGCGCGGCTCCATTTTTTGATGCATTGATCTGTTGTCGACCTCAACGGAGGAGTTGAGTTAGGATCTCAATAACTGATCCTACAGTTTCAGTTCTAAAAACCATGTGTGTGTGTGTGGAAGCGCAAGCATATCAAAGAGCAATTGGAGAAAAAAGGGAGGTGTCTTGTTCATTGACAGTCTTTGAAGCTGCTTGTTTGGTAAAATGTCTCGGGTCGGCAGCAAGAACTGAAACGCTGATCTACTAAATCAGTGCTTGAGACTGCTGACAAAATCTGCAGCGCCATTCAAAGTTTGGTGTCGGCGCCCAAACCCCCGGTGAAGGGAGAAGTGCTGCACTGTAGCTGTGGCAAGCACCTCTCACTCCCCGACGCGCAGCACACTCATTATTTCACGCATGCAACACACAAGTCTTCTTGACGCCATTGGGCATCCAATCACACCTCACAGGTGCGGCATGCATAACTGAATGAGGCCGGCAAATGTCAGGGTTATGGTGAACCGCCCCCACAGACCTCCACACTGCATCTCCGTCAATCAATCACCAAACAAATAAGGTATAAAATTTACAAATGAGCACATCACACATCATCACCTCATGACCATCATGATCTCTTCCTAGACGTTCGTTTTTGGACCTGGCTCCGCCGGAATCTACCGGCGGTAGTATCATTTATTGCATTTTGAGGCAGATTTCGTCCATATGTCTGTGTGGCAATTGTCTTTCACCCATTTCGGGTTGCTTCGTTTGGGTTCTCTTGGCGGTGTGGCTGACTGTGTTCTTCACCAAAACCAAACCCTTCAGCTGGTAGTTTTTTCCAAACCAATAGAACCGAACATGTCTTTGGCAACTCTGGACAGGTGACGCAAACACAGACCGGAAAGGCAGGAAACACAGACAGGAAAGGGTCGGGCCTTTAGGACAATCAGTTGCCGCTGCAGGAGAAGTAGTGAATCTCCTTGAGTTGGTTTCAGATCGTGCAAAAACATATCACACGGATACACACCCGGATACAGTGCTTGTAACCCGTGCAGGTCTATGCGGCATGTTAGCATGAAGAGCCAAATGGAGGACGGGTACCCGTTGAAAAGCCTCTCATGTCTGGTTCACCTCACTGTCATGCGCCTGCTGATTAAACGTCGAAGCAACCAGTAAACATGTCTTCCACATGCCCAGCTCCTGATGTGAGTTCCAGTTGAGCGCAGCTTGGGTGGATGAGACTGCGGCAAGCCTGTTGCGCGAAAACGCGCTGCATCAATTCGGGTGTTCATCGACAGTGGAGCCAAGGATTCGCCACATCTGCTTTCTCCTTTGGATGTGAAGATTTGCCATACATACCAATCAAACAAAGGTCTTCCAAACGACGGCATTTTCTTCTTATGGGGCGGACAACCACTTTTTCTGGGGCAAACTTTGACTCAGTGCCGCACAGGAGTCCTAACAATGCCAAGGTAAGGTCCACATAACGTTGGCCACCCACCTTGGTGGGCTGGAGATGTCAAATCGTCACAAGAGGAACCAAGAGGAAACCGGTAACGCCTTGAACAAGAGCGGTGCTCCAAGTTTTGCTGTCCTTTAATGTCGACAGAATCAGACCCGACTCCAAGGATCTAACCTGATGCGGTCGCAAGTTGACAAAACGAGGAAACCCTTGTTCCTAGTAGCGTCCTTGCTCCTAGTAGCGATGCCAGGAGCCCCTAGTAGCGTCCTGGTGTATATAAGATTATATAAGTAACAAGTATATATTTGCACAAAACTATGCTGGCCAGCCCTTCTTGCAACTCAAAATCAGTACGACCCGTTCCCCGTTAAAACCCCGTGGCCCACTTTCACACTGACATGCCATTGTGAGTCCAAGAGGGTCTTGGCAAACGCTGTTCTTCTTGCACATTGCTTCCTAACATCCAATTCGGAAACCAAAACATACCAAAACCATCTAAGAGGTCTGGAATCTGCCACGAGAGCGTGTTCAGCCTTTCTTACAAACGCTGTATTTCTTCAAGGTTTAAACCTTACACCTTATCACAAACAACCTTGCCATTTGGGTTTATCCCCATGAAGCTCTGAGATGCTCGCTCCAGTCAACCCACCCCCGTCTGATGGTTGGAAAAGGTTGGAATTCCCTAAGTGGCAGCCTTCTTTGCCAAAGCCACGAGCACATGATGAAGGGCTGGAGGAAAGGCCATTGCCTGAAATGTTTCAGCTTCTAATTAAGGTCAAGATTTGAGAATCGCACTTTGTGTTCACTTCTAACTTTGTGTTCTTTCTTCACTTCTTCAACAAATGGTTTATTCGAATTGTGTCCCGGCGGCCAAGGGTGCACAGCACAGGCTACCCACCATGGCCACCAAGGTCTCCAGCCGTGAAGCGCACAGCAGCGCCAAGCACCTGAGATCGTGGTGCCACGGACCTCACACCCTCAAAACCAGGAAACCCTTGTTACTAGTAGCGTCAGCCCCTAGTAGCGTTCTTGTTCCTAGTAGCGCTTGCAATGGCTCCAACCTAATAGGAATGGCGAGCAAGAATGGACTGGACAAGCGAGGGAAGCCCAAAACTCAGTCAGAGACATCGTAAGAAAGACCAAGGAGATCCGGAGGATGTCAGGACCCACCTGGGCCAGGCTCGTGCAAATGTCTCATGTTGCCAAATGACATGTGCCACTTCCAAGAAAATGCACCCTTAAATCACGCACACTCTGAAAAGGGGTTGGAGCAAAGCCATGATTCATACCTCATGGTTGGGCATTGGAGTGTCACTACAACTTACGGTAAATAGTCGTCTTTGAAGGACTGGAATCAACAACCAAGTTCTCTCGCAACAGCTCTTTTCCCTAAAATCTAGGGTGCGAGCGCTTCTTCAAGGAAGCTCCCGCTCCCCCCGCCCTGGAAGCGTGAGCTATTCTGCGTCCTAGGTTACCCAGTAGTTCATTTAGCCCTGACTTAATTAAGTGTGGGCCAACTTTTAAAGGAAATCAAAAAAAAGAAAAGGGATGTGAGATGTTAAAAACATGTTCCCCACTGAAGAGGAACACCTTGGAGTTGACTCCAATAGTGGGGCTACGCAGTCCGACACCACCCTGAACGCTTTGGCCCGGAAGGCCTTGCGACACTTTTTCGCTCGCGCAAAGCGTGAGCGCCCCTTCTGTAAGTGCAGCTTCGAGCAGCCCTCAAAGGCACCTTTCTCAATGGTCGTCGAAGGGTTTAACATTTTCACCTTAGTCAAGCTGCGGATGACTTCGATGACTGGCTTCTTGGGGCTAACTGATCATATCCTCCACCTTGATGATGTAGTTTGCTTGAAAAAGACTGTGAGGGAGTCAAGTGAGGTTCGCCTCTCTCGAGACATTCTGTCAGCCCGATGAAAGGCAGCAGTTGATGACATGGACTATCTGACTATTGAGCTTTGAGATTGGGACAGCCATGTCGCCAAAAGCACAGTTCCGGTTGATGTCCAATGTTCACAGTTGACAGGTATTGCCCTTAACCCCATGTTGGATGGAAGATACGGAAACCCAGCTACTAGTAACAAGTGCATCGCTACTAGTAACAAGTGCCTTACTAGTAGTAACAAGAAGCTACTAGTAACAAGTGC